ATGTATATAACATTATGACCAATAAATTATGAAAATGTATTAATAATATGAATACTTATATTTTTTGTATGCATTTTATAACAATTTTTATATTAATTATTACGACTAAATTATGAAAATTATTAAGGACGGAATTAGTATATACCTTTTTCTAACTGGGACGGAATTGGTATATACCTTTTTTTTAACAGGGACGGAATTGGTATAAAAAAAGGTTCTCGGGACGGAACTCGGATGCAGCCGGTTCACTTCCTTGTGAAATCGGTGAAATGCATACTAACACACACCCATGTCTAAAAGTTCATATTTATGAAATCATTCATTTTTGTTATAAAACTATGAGGAAGTGTAACAAGACGATTTTTCAGTGGATTTTTCTATTAACTCAAGGTTCAAAATTGTTTTCGTGCTTGCAACCGGTTACCACATTGKTGCAGATTACAAAAATTCACCCAAGTGAGTATATTATTATATCATGCGATTTTCCATGGCCCGACTAAATGACCCGGATTGTAAATCAAGCCAGCGATATCGGTCGCGCACACGCCACGGCAAAGTCAAGGTCAAGCATAACATAGTTATTAATATTTATGCATTATTAATATATGTATTAGAATATATATTAATAAATAATAATAGTGGTAATCACATAAATATAGTACCTAATCGGCTAATCATATAATAACATGGTAAATATAAAATATGTACGCAGATTATTGCTCAAGTTTCGATAACGCACGCTATCTACGAACTTTTTCCACCTCTGTCGACATCGCGTACAAGCTAATATTGTGGTTGCGAGTTTCCAGCCGTCAAGTGGTACACAGAAGCGTACAGCGGAGACGGTGGAGTTGTAAGGGGGGAAGTAGTGTTTGCAGTAATAATTACGATGTCCTTTCGCCAAATCGTTCCAATGGAATGTCGCGCCCGCTCGCGCACGCCAGGAGAAAGGTATATTTTATTGTATACGTGAATATTATATTATTATTGTTATTATGCACATAACGCGGAGGTGACTTGTGATGTAAAAATAATAATAATAAAATGAGCTAGAAAGTAAGGTGCCATAGGAGCCCCCCCCTCCTCCTCCTCCTGCATGGGTGCATCCCGTTCACCCAACTGGTTTCAACTGCGCAGTGAACGGAACCCGCATCGACCCGCGAACACCACATTTATAATATTATATTATTATAATACAAATATTTAAATAATATAATATTTCAATATACGATTTCAACACTGGGTAAGATGAGTTTCTCACACGGCACTACACGGTACCTAAAAAGTAACGTGGCAACTATGTACTATTAGTCTCTCAGAAAACCCGGATACTGTCGATTTTTTTAGATCAGAAACTTGGAAGTCGTCGACAACGGTACGCTGTACCTGACGGTCTGTGTGTTGAAGGGTAATGAAAATAAATCAAAGTTCCATGAATGCCACCGAGGGGAGGGGTTATGACCCCGTTGAACAGCAGCTGCCAGCTGCTGTATCGGGACAACAGTTGAAGAGGAGATTCCCTGTTCGTATATAACACGTCTCGCGACCCGTCCGGATGTCCGATGGATACCTACGTTTGAATATTCAAAAACCGACATTACGCTCATACCACCGAACCATCAGCCGGCCGGCCGGCCTCGACGGTAGGTTGGCAACCGTGTCGCCCGCGCATTGCGTATCGTGACTTCGTAACCGCCGCCAACCCGGTGAAATTGGGGTACCTACGAGGAAATCTGCAGCGTATGATCGCAGCGGATATGCGAGTTCCGTTTGCAGGTAACAACAACGCAAGGGCTAATTTAATACGCCACTTCGATTGTTATAAGAACAAATTGCGTTAAAATCACACGGTCAGCCGTTTAATCGTGCCGGCCGGCAACAAGTAACGCGCAGCGGCCTCGAGTCAGGGGGGGACTGTGGAGCGATCAAGACTGAAAGAAAACACATACGTTTTGGCGCCAAACACACGGGCTGTCCCGCCGCTATAATAATACGCAAACCACAAACGAGTCAGATCACTTCCTCCTCGACTTCCTCTTAGTAATACGATCGTTTATACACAGACTGGCATAATCGTTATGCAAAGTCAGCAACTATCTCGAGACAATTCATATTTATAATTAAAATTTTATTATATCCGCTTTTATTGTACACTCACCTCGTGCCCGTGTGGCATGATGGAAACGCGCACTTCTTCAGTATCCGGTCTGTGGACGACCACGTCACCGCATATCTCGCGGCCGTTGAATGTGATGTACACTCGCTGACCGGCCATCAGCCGGAGGTCGGACAGCGTCTGGAAACCTGGGCCGACCAGTTCGGTGGCCCGGTACTCACGCCGGCCGCTGGTTCCGTCGTCGAACCGTATTGAATATCCGGTCTCGGAGCCATCCGCGGCCGTCTTGACAGCGGCGATGATGCCAGCGCACAGCTTGCCGTCATCGCCGTACGGAGCGCAGACGCGCGTCCCTATGATGGACCGCTTGGCCAGCCGTTTACCGGCGCCCATGATTAACCCGTTCTTATGCCGCATCGGAATCGCAAACGAAGAGTCCAGCTTGGCGGTTTTATACGACGTGATTGATCGATATCGTTTATCGCGCGTAAGCGCGATCGAGAAAACGAGCGAAGAAAAAATTAACACGAAACAAAATATGTATCGGCGTCTCTACCGTCCAATATTAGTCGACACTTACGCCTCCGTCGTACCGATTCGAGAAATTATAGCAACTCATTTTGATCTTCTGAAAAATATTAGAGAATAAAAACAACGTAAAATATATATTTATATAATATATATTGGCAATTACGTTTATATTCGCTTTGTTTAAAAAACACAGATTGGAATCATTAAGAAAAACGGTGAAATTTTTGAGCGGCGATTTTTTAAAATTGTTTCGCACAAATGTTTTATTGTTGTGAATTCGAGTTCACATACAATACGCACAGTCGACGGAAAAAACGACGACGACAATAACAACAACAACAAAAACAATCGGTGATTTAAGTCCGAACGGCCGAACAGCGGAGGACTACCGGCTACGACAAGACGTAAAACGGAACTATGGACGTGGTTTGGCACAAATGTTTAACGCTACAGCTGACAATGCCGGTTGCCGGTATCCGCGCGCAGTGATACCAATTTACCGTACCCTATCGACCCGGTTTTGCGTTCTACGCTTCTATACTCTATTATTATGATTATTATTATTACGATGCGCATCCTGAATTTACTTCTCGTTCACAAAGGAAATAAACACCAGTCGCCAATTTTCTGTCGCTTTCCGTGAAATATAAATTCAACATTTTGTCGTCCACAAATCTATATTGGCCTTTGATCAGGTGGCAAGTGTAGTAGCGGTCTGTGTAATATTACAGATATCATTTTTTTATTCACATTAATGACGTCATCTCTCTCATATTAAAGAAGGTTTATTTTTTATTTGCATCGTCATTGGTATTTCCAATAATAATGAACATTATGTATTGTTTTATTTTATGCAATACACTTTTACAGGCTACTAGCTAGTGACTTAGAACTCACAACAACTACAACATAATAATAAAGCATACCTACTGTAATCTGGCATCTATATAATATTTTATATTTTATTAGGCCGCATATGAGATATAAACATTATAAACACATTTTATTATATTCCTGAATCCTGAAATAAGCACTCAAATCCCCCTTCGTTGATGTGAAACTCGGATAATTTACCTATACAAAAACTCACACCACAACCTAAATAAAACCAAAAAGCTCATAATTACAAAATCAGCGAAAAAATTCTAAACTTAGGCTAAAACCACAACTACTATAAGACATATTCCCGGAAGACTGATCACTAATCAGACAACTATTAAAGAAGATATTTTTTATGTAATTTGTATTTATTGTAAATTATTATAAATTTATAATATTATAAGGTTGTGGTGTCTGCTACTGCGAAATTTTGTACATACCTATATTATATTATATTCGTGTTTGGACGATCAAAGTCAAATAATTTGTTACTAAAAAGAACCACTGTGTATAATCATATTTTTACTTGGAAAATTGTATAAACAAGAAACAAGCAATAACAATAAAAAGTTTGAATTTAGATTTATTTTCTACGTATTCGTTACTAGTAAGTAGTAGTAGTATAAATATTATATTTATTCAATGTTACAATACCATAATAAGGAAATGAGGACTGAGGAGGCAAATAAAGTAGTAAGAAATCCATTAAATAGTCCCACCGGTGAAATAATTAATTTTTCATCGCTTGTTACCATAAAAAGAAATATAAACAAATATTGCATTTATTTGTAGAACACCAAATGGCACCCTACCACGGAAAATAAGTTAAGAGAAATCAAGCATTCTAGCTGAAATACACTGACCTAAACAGAAAAAATGAGCTAATTCTTAATCGATTTAGAATAGGACACACAAAATTCACACATGGACACCTTATGGCTAAGACAGATCCATCCCTATGCCCGACATGCAATGAAAACTACTCCATCAAACACATCGTCGTCCCCTGCCCAAACTTCAATGAAGCTAGGAAAGACTTCAACATCCCCGACAACTTGTACGAAGTAATTGGTCTTCATTTTCTAACTATTAAAACATAATTCCATATCTAAAAAAAAATTGAATTGTTATAGACATGATGTATAATAATATAAAAATATAATACTTTTGTTGTTAAAGCTAATAACCTATGTAGTTGATGCTTGACCAATAAAAAAAAAAAAAACTATAATAACGTGCATTATGCCATAATATGTATATAACTACATGCTTTTTTCATTATTTTGTGTGAAATTTAAAATGTTGTCAAAGTTAACTAAAGCCTTAAATGAATTTCAATTTTTTAATACAAACTGTTTTAGAATGTACTCACACAATAATATGAATGAACGAACTTTAAACTTCTATAATCGTGTATTCTTGTAGTCCTTATATGATATAATTATAATTATATAAAATTATCATTCTATCTATTCAACAGTAAAAACAATATTAAAAGATATAAATGAATAATATGTAAGATCATAATTTCTGATTTTAGTATTTCTGATAATTTTGTTTGTAAAAATAATTTAGCCATTTACGTAGGTATGTTCATACCTCATAATATAATACCATGTAAATATTTTGTAAAAAAAAAAAAAGAAAAAAATCAAATTTGCTTATTGTACGTATGATACTGATTAAAAATGTTCTATTTAAAAAAAGGTAAATTCAAAATTTTTGAAAGATTTATCTTTTTTCTTTTAAATTCTCAACTCAAGTTTTAAGCTGGTCAGTTATTCTAGCCATCCCTGCGCACTAATCATTGTATTTAAAAAACATTTAGTTTAAAAAGTTGTGCTATAAAAAAAAAGAAGCATAAGCTATTGCATAAGAATAATGATTTTTAACAGCTAAATATAAATAAAATATAAAGAATTATTCTCAATAATAATATGCATAAATGTACATTTACGTGTGATATGTAAATTAAATTAAATGTTAATTCAATGAATACCTAATTTAAAACTCCACCTGTAACGTAGCACTCCTATAAACGCATTTATTTTATAACCCAATAATATTTTAAAACATCCAAACCCTATAGGTAGGTAGATAATAGGAACATAGAAATAATAATAGTTATAAAAATTACAATTATAGTCTATCAAAATTAAATCAAATTAAAAATGATTACACGCATAGATACAACGATAGAAATAAAAAGATACATGGTGTTAGCATTGACAATAGCTGATAAAATAATGATTGATGTTTTTAATGATTTTACTTTTGGCATTGCCATTATACACAAGCACAATTTATCATTATTTATATAACGTAAAACAAACAAAAATAAAATCATCCCACGATTCATCTTTCATGATATTTATTATCGTAGAATATTCAACAGAATAGACGAAAATCAACCTATAAAATAATGTGTGTTAAATGTTTTTAGTTTTATCTATATGTATATAATCGATAAATAGGCTATTCATTTATACCGAAGTTTACACCTAGGAAACAATCTAAATTTATATGCTTTTAACATTAGTATTTTTGTTATACGTTTTGAACCCGTAGTATAAACTATAAGGTAATTAGTCCCCACCCAAATGAAGGTGAAACCCAACAACATAATAGGGCTTTGGAATAATTTTGTTTTTTTTTTTGTCTTAAAGCTTTCCATCAACGACACGCAAACCATAAGCATTGTTATATTGCATCGACAATACTTATTGTATTACTATTTCTAGAAGCATTGCATACATGCATATATAAGATAATCCGCAGTTCATGTAATAAACATTCTAAGGTTATTGGTATTGTGTTGGATTTTTTTCTAGAAAAATTCTCATTTGGAATCTCGTTTACCCCGCACCGAACAAAAACGGCATAGTTCTATACATTTTATAGACAGCTGGTCTAACGCTCATAAATTCGTATTATAGTTTTGCAATAATATAATTAATTAATATGTGATTAACACACAAAACATGTCGATCGGAGAACTAGCCACTAAGTGATGCGGTAAGCCGGTAACGATATACCTATACAATGTATTTTAATATTATATACTCTGGTTATTACTGTGTCCTAATATGTTCTTCCGTAGTTCCGTAACATATTATATCTACTCCATAACCATAATATATTTTAAACATTTTAGCATAATAGAATATTACTATTACATATTTTAATATTTATAGTATACCTATTCATACAATGATCGAAAAAACTAAATGATAACATATTCTACGCAGTTGTTTGTTCTTGTTTCGTTTTGATTTTTCGGACACGTTTCATTAATTGTTCGCTTGCATCGATCGCKTTAGTACGATTTGTATACGCGTCATATAATATAATATAAATACTTATACAATATACACACACATAATAAGCAACAATTATTGGATTTAATAGATAGCCAGATAGTGGCAGGGTTAGAGAAGTGGACCCTTCGCAAACCATTTCAAGTTTCAAATCTATGAGTTTTTTGATCAATTTGTATTTTTCTATATTCAATATTATGATTAATATTAATAAATCAATACGATTGTGTGTACGATTTTTACCCGTATAAATCATACACACGAATACACGATTTAAGGGAAAGTGAGGGAAAAGTATCCCGCTTAACAGTTATTTATGTATTTAAGTGTATGGTACATATAACATAAAATATACACGATAAATGCAAATCAATAATAACCTAATATAAAATATTTAAGTAATACGCAATAGTGAATCATTTTGTACTTTCGGATGTTCAAAAACTTCGTTGTTGTCCTTTTTCCGTCTTGTATTCAATTATATATCTATACCTATATGCCTTATAAGTTATATGTATATCGATATCGTGACTGACTCGGAAATCGGAATGACAGAATCTGCGTGTATTACATATATATATTAGATTATTATTATATATGTATATGTATATAATATATTATACACAACGCCGAGCAACGTAACAGACGTAAGACCGACCACCGGGTACCGGAATGACCCACTTTTCGCGGTCAGAGCGAGAGGAAAATGCTCGTCGTGACCGGGTTTTATGTGTTTTGCAAACGGGTCAAAATAGCCACGGCGAAGAATACGATTATATATTATTATTTTATATTATACTATAATAATAACACGGTAAACCGAGGTGAATCATACACATAATTCATTAACGAACGAAACTTATTTAAGTGCAGCCATTTATAGACCTATTTTATAAAGAAGGTACTTTTTAGCTGTACATCTACCCAAGGCAGCTTGTAACTCTACGGGAAAAATCGTTAGCAGGAAAGCGTGGAAAGTGAAAATGTTGATTTCGTTCTACCGTAAAAAGCTTTTATTTGGGTTGCTTATTTTTTATGCAGTACGCGCCATGACGTATAATTTATAATAATAGTATTTGCATTATTTTTAGCGTGTGTGAGTGATGCGTACTTCAACAATAATGTTTAGCAGCAAATAACGACGCTGAAAAATGTTGTTGCGCCGGTCGACCGTGTGTGCGATTACATTTTTCGCTATATAAATGATGCGCGCTTCGCCGGCCGGCCGGTGATTGCCGCTCAGCTGACACGCGTAAACACAACTTTCGGCACGATCGGTGGCGGTGGTGATGATCGGCCGGGCGCGAGGGGAGTCTGCGGTGACCTCGGTACCGTGTTTACATTGGTTGACCCACTTTGGCATCGACTCGGCGCGCGCACAGCGCACACACGGGCCTTCGCGCACGCGCTTGCCGCAGGTACGCCAGCCCGCGCGCTGACACGGCACCCAGCCTATCAGCCGGCCGGCCGGCCGGTCACCGTGCCGCTAGCGAAAAACAGCAGCTACGACGGCGGTTCGCACGGTGAAAACATTTTGCGGCGCGTGCGTCGACGGCGACACGATAATTATTGTATGGTATTGTGGTGCGCTGCCGCTTAGAAATATGCCGTGACGTAACCGACTTGAACGCCAACGACGACGCTTGGTACCACCAGCGAAAGTTTTTTTTTTTTTTTTGTCCATCATTTCGCTTACTGCGTAATATTTTTAGCGTCCCTACACCGCCGCCCCGTGACCCTTTCGTCCGCTCAGCCTCTATAGTTGTTCTGAGCACGGCTGCCATCGCGCTTCGCCAACATCCGCACGCGCTGGTTAACTAGCGCGCGCGCGCGCTCGTGAGCGAGTTGGCTCAACGTTGTCGCATAATACGTTTCGCACGAATGGGCCACACCGCGAACAAACAAACGCGTATTTTTATTACGCGTCGTATTCCGTTGTTGTTGGTTTACGCGGACAGCGACGCGCCCTACGTTTCGGCCAGCTTTAATAATAACCCACAYGACAATAATATTATGATTGCTGTTGACGTTACTTGTTATTTATTTATGTTTTTGTATATATTAAAATATATTGCATTATTGTATAACTGCACGCCCGCGCGCCGCGAACGTATCAAACAATACWCTGACACGATTTACTTTTCGACGAACTTGGTCGTAATATCGTTAAATATATATGTACCTATAATATTATTAATTAATCACCGTGTATTACAATATATTATTATTTATTTAATACATAAGAACGTGTCCAACCATGTATAGGTTATAGGGTATATTAGGTTCAAAATGCAATTATATTGTAATAGTCAATATACAAGCAATAATAGGTGCATAATTATTATTATAGTAGCACCTGTAATCGTATAAGATACGGTGCATATTATTATGTGTGAACTGTATAATTATAATTTGCGTTCGACGTTTAATTTGTTTTTTAACTGGATTTTTGTAAGAGCTGCATATATTTTGTCGAGAATGGGTACTCGTTATTTAACTATATATACACTATACACGCTCCGTTTACGTTTAGTGTTTATATGCTATAGCAGCACACACCCCTAAGACGAAATTAATTTGAAACAAATTTTCAACATGTTTATATTTCGTAATTAGTCAAATGTATACCAAATAACAGTAATAACCTAAAACTAAAAAGTATTGACATTGTACATTCATAATGATATAACCTTATTCGGTAATTTCGTTGTAGGCGTGCCTGGTGGCTGGCATAATATTCAAATGTA